GGGGAGCAGACAGGGACACGGACGGGCTTTAAGCATGCTCATTTATTCAGCTATTTGTTGACAAGATAATCCATCTGTGCCTTGGGTGCTCTGACAGAATCTGAGAGATTTGGAGTGATGTGTTCAGACTCTACAATATCGAGTGGGGCAAATCTCACTGTGAGAGTGGAGAAAACGTCAGTTATCACAATGTCAATTCTACAGCATCAAACGGGGTAGAGAGGTAGGAAAGGAAAGCTTAAACCACAACTCTCACAAGAGCTTTTTGCTTGGCTTCGCATAAGAATACAAATGAGACAGAAGGGCCTGATGGGGTATCATTCAACATATATGAATGTTTATGTATTATTTATTCATATGAAATGGCACACCAGTACATCTTCCACCGGTTTCACAGACAAGGCTTCAGATTAGTCCCAGACTAAAATGCATGTTTGAGCTGTTTTAACTGAAAGCAACTTGCTCTTAAAATATGTCAGTGCCATTGCTTTGTCTCAAAATATAAAAAAATTCAAAGGCACGTTCCCCCGTAGTCAAACATTTTATCCCATAAAACTCATCTTTAATCATTTTTTTTCTTCATGCTTTAAAATAGCTTGAATGTAACTCTACACTCTTGCCTCATTTAGTATAAGCGGTGCCATGAATATGCTAATGAGCCCCGCCTCCACTCACTCATACCAACCCAGAGATCCACTCATTGATGATCACACATTGACGTGATAAGTTACAAGGTAGTTTGTGACGTCAAAAACACCATCGATTTCAAATCGCGTTTTTGAGACTGTCTTTGGTTCAGTGCAGTTTTAAGGAGAAAATACTCAGCAATGGTGTTGACTGACGAATTTGCACATGGATTGTCTTAAAGCATATTAAAAACACCACATCAAACAACATTAAAAACTTGATTTTCACCACAGGGGGTCTTAAATATCCTAATTGAACTATGGCCTAATCCTGGCTTAATCTAAGCCCTGTCAGTGAAACCGGGCCATTATGACCCAGACTCTTTTATATCTTAAACACAACATTATTTTAACATTGTAAAAGAGTTTTGTGGATTTCAGCACATTCTGAGCCCATTTAGAGAGGACTGCTTAACGGAAATCTAATGTTTGACTGCAAGCAACTAAAAATGCAGGTTCTGGCACCCTTTTTTGTCTGTCATGTCAAGCCTGTCATATTTCTCTTCTAATGCTGTTTAACATAAGCCAGTATAGGGTTACAAATTATATTAGCGCAGGAATCTGTGTGATGTAAGGGAGGTCTGCCTAACATTACCTCATTCTAGAGGATGTGAGGTCATGGTTGTATTAAACTGAACCCAATGTTCTGCTGTCACGAAGAGAACATTAGATTTGAGTATTCTGTTCACAGGGGGCAGATTCAAGACCAAAATAAAGACAAGCCTTCATCTCTACGAATGAATCTTTAGATATGTTTGGGTTTAGGTCTGGAGGTGTTTACACTGCATTACATCTAAAGGTCAGAAACAATGGGAAATCTTGACCTGAAATATCAAAATACAGCATTCCTCAAGCAGAGAATCAGTTCTAGGCTTATAAAAGTGTGCGATATGAGTGTACACATTTTTTTAGTTTTCTTTTCCATCTTTCTCTACCTCTCAGTTCAGATAAATTTTTAAGCTGATCCAGATGGATGGAAATGCAGAGAGAAGCGGAGCACGGCCTTGTGGGTAGTTTAGTTCAGCATGGCCGCTCTTGCGCTCGGCAACCATGACGACAAGAGGCCATGAAGCTGTAGACACAGAGATTGGCATTTTAGTTGAAAAGATGACGACAGGGTAGACTGATGCTACCGCTCCATCAGAAGAGGAATCGGGGAGGAATTATTTCAAACAATTCCATAAAAGGAGCTCTACTAATTTTGAAGAGCTCATATAGTTCTGTTTGCCCTTGTTCAGAAATCAGAATTTAAGATCTCCAAAATGTGGTTGATGAGCTTGAAAACCAGACCTTCCTGTTGGCACTCTTGAGTCGAGGTCCTCTCCCTCTTTGATGCTGGTTTCCACCATGTGCAGGTGTAATTGAAGTGATTGCGTACATGGAAAAATTAAACCAGAAGACCACAGGCCTCATCAACAGAGCAGCTTTGAAGTGTGTTTGTGTGTGTGTGACAGAGAGAGAGAGATTGACGTTGAAGCACCTGCTGACTTCTGGCCATTAACGGCCTTGCTGTGCTGGAGATTTTATCCAAGAGCAAAGCAGCAGCTAAGTGCACATCACTTCAGCACTACAGAGAGAATGAGAAGTGTTATGAATATGCGTGCACATGTCAATGTGTTTCTGTAATGATGTGACTAAATAATAATATAAAAAATTAATGTTTAGAGTACTGATTGGACGTTCAGATGGTTGTAATTATGAACTAGGTGCACGTCGGACTTTGCGATCTCCAGCTAAAGCACTTTAAATGCCTCAATGTCCGGGAAGAAAGTTCAAGTCCACTTTCATCTGCATTTATCAGCTGGGTGTTTTCCAATCTGTCCTGTCCAGATGATATAGTTTGGTTCAAATAAAATGCACTTGACGATCTCAGTTTTACAAATCTAGTAATGCACTTTAAAGAGACAAGCATTCTGAATCTCCAAACAAAAGAGCATTCGCATGGAAAACTCCAGGAAAAGAGCAGGAATACATCAGAGATTCCAATCTCACAGGAGGCGGTGTTGTCTCCATGTGTTGTCTTCCTGCTGCTGATGATGTGAGGGTGTTTTTAGAGAGTTGAGAGGAAAGAGGCAGGAGGTGAGGAAGAGCATTTCTGCTATTCCGAGATCTACGTAAAAGGTTACGGCTCCACGGGTAATCGCTACATGTTAATCAGCTAGAGAGACCCCAAAACATTTCTGCATCCACAAAAACATTCCCTGTGTCATCTGTCGCCAAATCCTCATTTAGGAAGGCACTAATATTACAATTCTGTCCGAAACGAGGTCCAAAATTATTGTTATATTATGGCTGATAACCAATAAATGGCTAATAATATTTTAAAAATAAAAAAATATATATTTTTAATAATTTTAAATGCTACAAGTGAATTTAGGCAACACAACATTAACTGTACAGTATGAGAAATAGATCAAATATATAAGATATATAAGAATAAGATTATTGAACTATTAAGTGTTTTAAAGATGAATTTAAGTGAGAATTAGATGATGGTATATATAAAGGCAAGGGGAAAAAAACAAAAATAAATAAAAAATGAAACAAATAATGTAAAAAAAACACACACACACACACACACACACACACACATATATATATATATATCAATAAATAGAAAACTATCTAATAATAAAACTGATAACTCATAACAGATTGTACCAGTGGATGATGCTATTAAGTGTTTGTACTTAATACTCACTGAAATACAAAACTTATTCTGACACTGACTCTGAACTGACCCCTTTCGCGATTGCCCAGGCTTTTGTCTGTCCTCCAGGAAGAGCAAAGACATTTTGTTACACTTTATGGTGTTCTATGAGCAGAATATTTTATATCATGATGAGGCTGATTGTATTTTTCACTTTATGGATGATCGTAAAAAGGGATATTGCTGATACCATCTAATAAAAACACATACGGATGTGCTTACAGGATTGGGAGACTTCAAAGGTTTTTAAACCATACACACAGCCGCAGCCGCACCCCCCACCTGAGACATTCATCTGACTTTTTATGTGTTAGTACAACATTACATTTCTCACTAGCTGTTCATTGAGTGACTCAACAGAGCATCCAGTGACTAATAATGAACCATTAAAATATTCCAGTTAGAAAGACTGAATGAACACACTGAATGAATACAAACTCTGTTTTTGCAGGAAATGCCAACAGATCAGATAGTGTCTGCTAAAATGTATTGCATGCTCACATGGGTCATAACCTCTGTTAATAAATGTTGTTCAGTTGACATTTTTATACCCCTTTGGGACCTGAAAAAAGGTTAAAAGTACATTTCCCCATTACAAACTTATAGATACAGGTTTCCTGAGTTCCCGTTTCCGGAAGAACTTATCTGATGCCAAAGTCAGAACATTGACTAATACGCACTACATTTTGTGATGCACTACATCACTGTTACTAAACGAAATCTCCTGTTGTTGACATATTGAACTGTGGCGCTCGAGAAGACTTAGGTTTGAGTCTGGCCCGAATCAAGCATATTGTTTGGGAGAATGGAAAAAACTATTCAGTAGATTACTGTTACATACATCATTCTGAGTAGTTCAATTATGGTTGAGAAAAGCATGGAGAATCAGCAAATTAACAATGACACCATACTCTAAACTTTTCCTGCTGTCCCTCATCTCTCTATCCTTTGCCTTCACACATTCTTAGTCATGCGTTCTGTGTAATTTGCTGACTGTGTTAGTCTGTACACATTTCAATCTGGATCACGGAGTGCAGCACAAATCAAGCTCTGGGGAAAAAATATGCCATCAAATATACCACAAAGTCACTCAATAAAACTTTCACACTCACTCTCAATGTTCATTGGTGGTAGAAGAAGAATGACATACTGAGACCATCACAACATTTCTGTAAGCACTTAAAAGGAACATTACCTCACCCTCATGTCATTCAAAATCTGTATGACCTATAATGCAGATTCTGCCTGGGCCAACCAAAATCAATAAAACCCACACTTTTTTCCAGAAAACATATTTTTCCCCCTGCTATTTTGCAACTATATCCTGTTATGGCTTCTGTGTGACTCTTGTTGGACTTTTGAAATTCGGTATTGTGGCACTGCTATTATTATGGGCTCATTTGTAAGTCACAAATTTGACTTCTAACCTTAATGTCACATCTAGGAATCAGTTGGTATGGAAACAGCATGGCAATCGAGGTTAAGTGGAGTTTTAAAATGACCTCAACTAGAACATCTCAGAAGCACTGGGCATATATTAAGACGAGGACAAATGCCCAATTAGATGCAGACAGTTCAAGCAAAACAAAAAACAAGCCACTCACCTCTTCCATCATCCTTGATCTTGTGTAGGAGTTCGGAATAGTTAACAGGCCCTTTGTTCTCCTCGAATACCAGGTCCATGGTTGTGATGTTTTCTTCATGCATTTCCGTGTAAAGCCCCTCCAGGGCGAAGTAGCATGCCCTTTCGCCCATTTTGGTGTCACTGAACATCAGCAGGGCGTGTTGGTGCCAACCGAAATGCCTGTAGAGGTGGAGGGCGTAGTCACCCAGTTTCTTGTGTGTGGGGCCTGTGTTTGTGATGGAGGAGTACATTTCCATGAGGAGGAAAGCTACAGCAGGGGCCCCTGCCGTGATCATGGGGAGGCCCCAATGAGCAGTGAACAGCCCAACTGGGGAGGAGGTATAGTCACAGCCAGGCCCTATGAAGGCCCACGGGTTGTACTCGAATTTCAGGTCCACGGCCATGAGGGGGGCAATGGACTCGGAGCAGATACCGTCCCTATCCTCGCTGTTTGCAAAGATGTGGCGGAGGTGGTGCCGGGGCAGCAAAGTGGGGTCGGCATTGACGCGAGCAATGGCGCGGTCCAGAGCGGGTCCCACGCGGGGCCATGCCCAGGGGTAGGATGTATTGTGTTGAGGGAGTATGACAGCCAGTATGATGTCATCAGTGTGGATGTGTGCGGGTGTGCGGGACCCTTGGTGTCTGCTGGTCTTGGCACAGGTCAGCAGTGTCCCACAGCAAAGCAGCAGCAGAAACGTTCTGCCTTCACCGAACCAGAGCAACAGACTCATATCACTGCAGCTCATGCTTCCAACTGATCAGGAACACTACACACACACACACGTTTATCATATGAGATTCAATTATATATATATATAAAATAGTTGAGTATTGATAGGTGTTTTTTGGAGATTTTACAATTTCACTGACCCATACTATCTATATTTGGGTCAGAAAAGCTACTGTAACCAAAATTTACTAATCTTATTTTTCACATCTGAGAAGAAAACTTTATTCTTTCACCTTAGTTTCCAATGATGATTTTTGTACTTTCAAATACTTAAAAGGAAAGAATGGTACTTAAGTGTATCGGAAAGGTATATTTGGAGATTTTGCTTGGGTCTGAAAGGCACCTGGGTCTATAACCTATTTATGTACTCATCTTATTTTAAAGAAAACGTTATCATTTTACCCAAGTCTTCCACCTCAGTTTTCAAGGAGGAGATGAGAGCATATGACGCAACCTGTCTGTGTTGCTGTTTGGTTAATCTGGCTAGCTTCTACCTAGTAAGAGATTCATTTTAGCCAACATATGCCATTTTGTTACATTCTGTACAGCTTAGGTGATTGGCTCATAAAACCCTGATTGCAAAACTGAGCCGCTCTTCTGATGATTTGTGATACCCGGGGGGGGGGGGGGGGGGGGTCTTGCGCCAACCAAGAAACTGTTTTTGAAAAGAATGGGAATGCTAAAAGATAGCTAGAAACACTTTTCAATAAGGTTCCATTAAATTAAATTTTCAACAACAATTTTAACACAATTTATTAATATAGGTAAATTTTTGTATTCATTGTTTGTTTAATTTATAAAATAATTGTTAAAAATTTAATAGCATATATAGAAATTAACAACAGATACTGTAAAAAAAATCACAAAGCAGTACAAAGAGCTAAAAAAAACATCATAAACTCTAAATATGACAAACACCTGAATGCATCCTGAATCACAGCTAAAAAAACACACTTCATGCCTTCATTTGTAAAGAACATACTAAAATCAGTCCCCATAGAAAATCTGTAGCAGTTGTTCTCAAAAGGTGGGTTGCAAAAAATCTGAGAAAAACACCACTGAAGGGCAATAATACAATGTAAGTAACCATGTAATCATGCATTTTGGAATGGATAGCTTCAAATTTCTATTGTTCACAGCACAGGTTGTGCATCTAACTTCATGATATTTTGGCACAAATGCATCTGTCACTTGGTAGAAACTAACCAACTGAATCAGATGCCAACACGGACAGGTTGAGTGACTTGCCCTCATCCTTGAAGATGAAAGACTAGGGTATAAGAAAATACAAACCAACTACATTCAATTCTGGTTCCAGGTTTTGCATTGTGGTGGGTCGACACATGTCCAGAGTTGAAGGAAAATCAGTCAAGTAAAATCTGAGCCCTGAAGCAAAACCAGTTGAGAACCACTGATCTAAATTTTATGACAAATATTTTGTGGAAAAAAATTATCAACAAAAATTTCTAACACAATAGACCGCCAAACAAGCTGAACAGAAAACTTACCTTACCTTTTATACATGGTGTCTTCTGGTCTCCTCAACATGAGTCGGTACAAACCCGTGACAGTCCACTCAGCACAGCACAAAACACATCCTTGCCTCTGTGAAACTCATCCCCGCAGGCTGACTGTGTGTCATTCAGAGTGCCAAGAGCAGCTGTGATTTTCTCAAATCACATTATCTCACAGAGAGCTCCACCTCATCTCTGAGTCGAGTTGCATTCTCTGCCATGCTCCAGGGTTCTGAGGGTATTAATGCCTCTCAGCTGCAGTTACTGCCGGAAGAAGAGAGAGAGAGAGAGAGAGAGAGAGAGAGAGAGAGAGAGAGAGAGAGAGAGAGAGAGAGAGAGAGAGAGAGAGAGAGAGAGAGAGAGAGAGAGAGAGAGAGAGAGAGAGAGAGAGAGTGAGTGAAAGTGTATGTGTGTGTATGTGTGTGTGTGGGGGGGGAGGAGGGGGGGTCAGCCCTGATGTGTTTTAATCCATCTCCTCTTTATGCTTCAGCAGGGTAAAGGTTCACCCTTTGGTCAGAAATCACTTCCAAATGCTAACTCCTGCTAATGTAAACACTCCTCTAATTTCGAGTCAGAGGAAATCAATGGGATCAAAATCCATTAGCTTCTACCGTGCATTAAGTAACCATAGCTGAATATTACATAAGAAACAAGAGGTCAAGATTTGGCTAGTTAGCATGACCTCCTGATGGTATCGAAATGTAGGCAAAAAACTCTCCATTAGCGACTGTTAATTAGTGACTGACAATGTTTAAAAAGTAGATTTAACATTAAACACAGAGTAAACATTTTAAGAGAGAACTTTGGAATGAGATTTTTTTAAGATGTTTTTGAAAGAAGTCTCTTCTGCTCACCAACGCTGCATTTGTTTGATCAAAAATACAGTTAAAACACTAATATTGCAAAACATTATTAAAATGTAAAATAACTGTTTTCTATGTTAATATATTTTAAAAAGTTTATTCCTGTGATGCAAAGCTATATTTTCAGCATCATTATTCCAGTCTTCCGTGTCACATGATCCTTCAGAAATCATTCAAATACGATGATTGTACTATTGAAAATGAATCTCTGCTATCACAGGAATAAGTTTTAAAATAGAAAATAGTTCTTTTAAATTGTAATAATATTTCAAAATACTGTATTTTTGACCAAATAAATGCAGCCTTGATGAGATAAAAGACCTCTTTCAAAAACATTTAAAAATCTTAGTAGTGTTTAAAGTTAATAATTCATTAAAGTGTAGTAGTTATTTTACCAGTGCCCAATTTTGTTTTGGTGTGAAATCTGCATTAATGAAATGTGTATGTCCTTGTGGTGCCATCAGCCAATCAGCATCTCATGATGACAATTACATAAAATTAGATTCAATGGCCGACAACAATTTTAAACATAATTTAATATTCATTTTTAAATATACTATTGTACGTTGTTTGTCCAAACAGTTTGTACAAATGTTAATTTACACATACTGAACCTTACTGTAAAGTGTTAACAGATTTATTTAGATGTACAGTGTGGAAATATCTTTACTTGTTTCAGAAAGATAGACCTTACTAGGCTGAATACTGGGCTGAAAGTGATGGTGGATATGGCCACAGAAGTGATGTTGCAAAGGTTTAAACACTGTTGTGAACTGATATCCCCTCACTGTCATTTGTTGAAGAGGAACCGGTAACCCTCACGAGAGGCAGGTCAGAGCAGTTTCCAGCAGTCCAGCAAGATCTGACCCTATGGGTCAGGACAAGCTCTATCTGCTTGCAGCACATTTTGAGTTCAACCTACTAACCGCCTTCAGTGGTTTATGTGTCTGTGGAGCTTCTAGTGTCTCCTAGGTTTCTGTAAGCTGCAGTGTGTGTGTGTGTGTGTGTGTGTGTAAGGTGTTCCAGCACGATTCTGACATTTATATTCAAATCCAATCATTAAGCTTTTCCTTCATAAAGAATGTCCAAATTATAGTCATAAGCACTGAGGTATGAGGTATGAGATGCCTGTCGCAGACAGGTAAGCTGTTATAAATCACATCTCTTTCAACTTTCTTTTCTTGTTGTAATACGTTGACATTGTAGCATATAAATAAATTAAAGGGGGGTATAATTCTTTTTGGCAGTGATTCCCAACCAGAAGTAAACATACTTCAGAATCAGCAGGTTTAAAAGAGTAATTGGAAGGACTGGAGTTTTGCTATGTTAAACCTATAGAAAAATATATATATTTATCAAGATTAATATGATTCAGTTTCTATTTAAGTTGGAAAGCACTGAAATTGTTCAAATTCAAATCAATAAATGGCAGATAAAAATCTAAATAAAAGACTAAAACTATAATTAATCATCTAAAATGCTACAAGTGAATTTAGCCATCATGCATGAAAAAAAGATATATTCATTTTGAGATTTGATAAAAATCACATTTCGCGGTGTTATTAAATTATTAGTGTTCTTAAAGATTAACTTAAATGAATCTTTATTTTTTCCAAATGAAAAAAAAAAATAGGAGAAATGAGCGTGCACAATTATCCAATAATTTATTGTAAATAATATTTACAACATTTTAAAGAAAACAATAGAGGGTTACAGTTTTATATATTGGGTGACACTCATACAACAATACATGTGCTACTTGAGTTTCACTTACAGTATCATTTGTTTTATGTTTAGAAGTGACTTTAATTAAATCAATGATATTGCTAATTGATATTATGAGTTAAAAAGAAACAATTCTGGTTAAAGTCGATGAAGAGGTACGTAAGCATTACAGATGGGGCTACATAAAATGAAAAAGGTTAGGAAACACTGCTTTAGATTCAGGAGATGTTTAAAAAGAAAGATACAAACTGAACTCAGATCAGTATTCAGTCAGTTCTAGATTTGTCCTTCACCCCCCTTCAGAGAGCCCCGGGACGGTCAGATGGATAGAATTACCAAAACAGGATGCAACACAATAGCGTCTCCATCTCTTAGTCTCTCCCAACATTCCCATTTCCAACCTCTATCTCCAGCCCTTATTTGAGAAAAGCAGAAAGAGAGACAGAAAAAGGCAGGGAAAGTGAGATTGTTCAGTCTAGCACACAGCAGACAGGATTTAGGATTCAGTAATTGACCAACAATGAAGCTGTCAAATGTTTCAAACAACACATTTGCCAGAGATCTGTCCTTGTGCTTATTGCCATTGTGTAAACTCACCTTAAAATGCAACCATTGCTGGTTCTAAAGCAGGACACTGGCTCTCGGGACTCTTCCCCTCTCTCTCATCCTTTTTCTCATTCTGGGGAGCAGCAGGAGATAACAGCAGCTGGACAAGCTTGTGGGACTTTGGAGCTGAGCTGAATGTAGGAAAAAATATAAAAAGTATAAACACTGTGCATAAACACACAATAATATTCCTTTTTCCACACAGCATGACTTGTGTGTGCTAATTTAATTAGTAAAAATGGTCTTTAGCACAAACATGAAAGACTCTACTTCTTGATAACTGAATTGCTGTACAGTACCATTTAATTATAGTCTATTCTGTTACCATGGAATTACACTCCCAGGTCTGTGCTAGAGGGGGCTTTGTGATCAACTGCTATCAGAGTACTGTGTGTTCAGACTTATGCACAGGGACAACTAAAGAGTCATTTCTGGTCTTACAATTATAGCATGATGGAGGAGGAGATTCAGGTACGTAGAGAACAAGACAACGTGTCACATATTTGCCTAAGTTTATTCAGCACATTATGCACTTACACTTACCTAAAGGATTATTAGGAACACCTGTTCAATTTCTCATTAATGCAATTATCTAATCAACCAATCACATGGCAGTTGCTTCAATGCATTTAGGGGTGTGGTCCTTGTCAAGACAATCTCCTGAACTCCAAACTGAATGTCAGAATGGGAAAGAAAGGTGATTTAAGCAATTTTGAGCATGGCATGGTTGTTGGTGCCAGACGGGCCGGTCTGAGTATTTCACAATCTGCTCAGTTACTGGGATTTTCACGAACAACCATTTCTAGGGTTTACAAAGAATGGTGTGAAAAGGGAAAAACATCCAGTATGCGGCAGTCCTGTGGGCGAAAATGCCTTGTTGATGCTAGAGGTCAGAGGAGAATGGGCCGACAGATTCAAGCTGATAGAAGAGCAACTTTGACTGAAATAACCACTCGTTACAACCGAGGTATGCAGCAAAGCATTTGTGAAGCCACAACACGCACAACCTTGAGGCGGATGGGCTACAACAGCAGAAGACCCCACCGTGTACCACTCATCTCCACTACAAATAGGAAAAAGAGGCTACAATTTGCAAGAGCTCACCAAAATTGGACAGTTGAAGACTGGAAAAATGTTGCCTGGTCTGATGAGTCTCGATTTCTGTTGAGACATTCAGATGGTAGAGTCAGAATTTGGCGTAAACAGAATGAGAACATGGATCCATCATGCCTTGTTACCACTGTGCAGGCTGGTGGTGGTGGTGTAATGGTGTGGGGGATGTTTTCTTGGCACACTTTAGGCCCCTTAGTGCCAATTGGGCATCGTTTAAATGCCACGGCCTACCTGAGCATTGTTTCTGACCATGTCCATCCCTTTATGGCCAGCATGTACCCATCCTCTGATGGCTACTTCCAGCAGGATAATGCACCATGTCACAAAGCTCGAATCATTTCAAATTGGTTTCTTGAACATGACAATGAGTTCACTGTACTAAAATGGCCCCCACAGTCACCAGATCTCAACCCAATAGAGCATCTTTGGGATGTGGTGGAACGGGAGCTTCGTGACCTGGATGTGCATCCCACAAATCTCCATCAACTGCAAGATGCTATCCTATCAATATGGGCCAACATTTCTAAAGAATGCTTTCCGCACCTTGTTGAATCAATGCCACGTAGAATTAAGGCAGTTCTGAAGGCGAAAGGGGGTCAAACACAGTATTAGTATGGTGTTCCTAATAATCCTTTAGGTGAGTGTATATCCACTTACTCTTAGTCTTGGAAAAAAAGGTCAAACAACCGTTATAATAATCATCAGATTGAAACTGCAAGCACTATTTCAATTTAGGCTATGGACATGTGCCTCATTCACTTATAATTCCGTATGGTTTCCGTATTTATGCGTGCAGAAAAAGTTCTCGTGCAAAATGTCAGCTGAATTCAACAGATGAACTTTTGTTCGAACCCCAGTTCTATTGATGTTTCTGAAGTCTGATTTATTTTTTAAAAATGAGTGTGCCACTTGCCCGCAAATACTTATTTGCAAATACTTTTTTATATATAACAAAACTACACAAAATCATGTTTCGAACCTCTCATTTTGACAAATTACTTGCTCCTAGGGCCACCAGGACCATGTAATTTTTTTGTGTACATGTGATTTCAGCAGTGATGGGAATAACGGCGTTATAAATAAACGGCGTTACTAACGGCGTTATCTTTTTCCGGCGTTTCCCCCGTTACAACGCAGTTACCGTTACTGACAAAAAAAATGTGGCGTTACTATAATTGAACTCACTGAAGCGGCTTTCATCCGAGTAGGCTCTCTCTCCGCCATAGGACCTGCAAAGTTTTTTTCTCTGGTGTGTGTGTGTGTGTGTGTTTATGAGGCGCCGGAGTGGACAAAAGCGAAGCGATTGGCGCGAGCGCGCTCAATGCGCGAGAGACCGAAAGTGTCCGGACCGAAAGTGTCCGAGAGCGCGCTCAACAGTTGCGCAAGAGAGACCGAGGGTGTCCGAGCATTATATAGTTTGTTTATAAATAAATGACACATATCTGCAACGTTAATTAATTTACAGGGTTATACAAGTAAAATCTAAAAAAATACCGTCAGGTAACGTTCTGTTTAGGTTATAAAATAAACCCGAAAATAACCTGCAGGGAACATTCACAGAAAACATAGGCTATTTGTTTGACCGGTTGTAAACACGTGCGGCAAACATGTCTAGAATTTGGCTTAAATAATCTCTGATAACGTTCGCTATTATAAAAATAAACCCCCAAAATATTATATTTTAGTATTATTTTTTTTTTTTTTTGGTAAATTGTTCAGTATTATATTGAGAGAGCACTTGTTAAACTGTTTACTTTTGTTAGGAAGAAAATACTCAGGCTACAGTATGTCTACTAGTTGTGAAGTTGTGTAACAGTTTTATCATTTTAATATGCACAAAGAGTGTGCATATTTTTTATTATTATGTATTCATTTTTGGTACATTTCTTAAGAAGCATAATTTATTTTTAAACTTATTTGTTGGCCAGTTGGGGTCTGTGCGATATTAAGTAAACCATCTATAATGTTTTATTGTTCTACTATAGTAATGCTAATATTAAGAATAATATATTGAATTTAATAGGCGTCTCTCACATTGTCCCACAGCAACATTAAAATAGAATAAATTATTATTATAAAACATTGAACACTAATCTACACTACTAAGTGTCCATTTCATTAATTTAACATATTTAATACTGGGGGCATCCAAATTATTTGACATAGGCCTATTTGATTTTTTTTTTTTTTTAAGTAACGCAATAGTTACTTTCTCTGGTAATTAGTTACTTTTATAATGATGTAACTCAGTTACTATTTGTGAGAAGTAACTAGTAACTATAACTAATTACTTTTTTTAAGTAACATGCTCAACACTGGATTTCAGTTGGTTCTAAATTTTATGCGAACCACTGATCTGTAGTGTGAACTTATTGATGAATCATGACTTCTTGGCATTCTAGCATACTCCACTCACCATTTCTGCCAAAAAATAGTAAGTGTAGCATGCCATTTCGAATTCAGCCCCAGTAAAGCTAAAAGCCAGGAAGCATTGGCAACCTTTCTGAGGTGGAGAAAATGGGCAATTTTACCTGTAGGTGTTCCCAAAAAGGTTGTGTTTATAGTTGATTGCAAGCTCTCACATCTTTCTCCCAGTAGCACGGATATGGTCAGCAGAGAGTTTGACTGTCTTAGGCCTTGTCCACACGGACACGGGTATTTTTATAACCGGAGTTTTTCCTACAGCGTTTAAAAAAAAAATCCCGTCCACACATGCTCGGTCTCCGTCTACATGAAATGACATCATCATCTTGATATGTGCTCATCTGTATGTGGGAGAAAAAAAACCTATTACACAAGTCCCACATCATTAATTTTTTATTCTAATCCAGAAAGTCTGTAAAAAATAATGTGGTCGTGGATGAACCCAGCCCTCTCCTCTTTGTGTGTCAGTACATTATAATGAGACTCTGATGAGACAGCTGTCTCAAACTTCATAAAACACTTAAACGAACAATGAAATCTGTGCTCAGTGAGCAGCACATAAATATTACAGGAGCTGTTATATTAAAAACCAGCATGGAACAAGGGGTTATAAATGACCTACCCACCATGGAGATGATGGCAATCAAGCTAAAGTGACACCCCTGATCATGTAAACTTAGTCCTGATTTTTTGTCTTCACTCACCTTGCACAGCACAGGGGCCAAAAGTGAGATAGCTAGCGTCATTCTACCAAGCCACTTTCATCTCTGACATCATCTCTTTTGCTGAATGTAGCACTGTTGGCAGGAATGCCATGACAACCCTCCTCCGGTCTTCAGAGTGGCATATTACAGTTGAAGTGTCTGGACACAAGAGATCAGGGAAGAAGGGATATGGGTGGCAGCTCACCAGCCAAACCGACTCCTGCTAAGAGCCAACGCATGATGGTGCCAAAAAAAAAAAAAAACATGTCACAGCACACAATACAGGTTTGACATGATAGCTTTTACCTGTTTCCAACTGAGAACTGGCTGAATTGGTAAACAGGGTAAAGTGGGATTTATGCACAGCACAGAAGTTGTTGCCATCTGAAACGGTTGACTTTTCATGATCCATTTTCTTCTATAACAGAGTGGCAATGTAAAACATATGTGCTTAATAATTCAAGAAAGCAATTAATATTGTAGAACCATGAGTCTGTAAACAAACAACAAATTAAGCTTTGAAACCTTCAACTCTGCACAATTGCAGCATAAATCACACAAAAGTACATTTACTCTTAATCCATGAATGAACACCGACACAGCCTCCCCAGGGTGAGCTTGGGCTTGAAGAAGATGATCTGGCTTGACAAAGAAAATTGGATTTGGACCACAGTGTGTCTGTCTGGATGTTTAAACGATGCCTAACAGATAAGGAAAGATATAGAAAACAGTGTGATCTGACATGCACTTCAAATAGTCAATGTTTCAGCCAACAGCTTGAACCATTAAAACCATTTGGAAGGTGTGAGCGGGGCAAAGACAGAACCAGAGGTATCGGGTGATGGCTCAAAAATACAGATTGGTTTAAATTCCTATTGAAGCAGGAAAATAAAAGGGTTGTAGTGTTGTCCTAATTTTGAAGGAAAGTGAATAATATCTCTTGACAGTGATGCGAGTAGAGGCAGATCCTTCACTAATCGATTTCTATAATACGTAACTCATTCTTTTTGCTCTAGTATCTCATAAATTGCAGTTACACATGTGATTCTGATATATGATGTTGCCGGCGACACCAATGTGGACCATGGTAACATGTAATAGCTACTGAAATTCTAATTAAACTTCTGTGGGATGTTTCTTCCTAAATCAAACCTTCTAGACTTTAAACTACAGAAGACTACAAACACCTAGCACCCCCTGCTGGGCAAACATCTAGCATTTACCAAGATTATCTCAAAGCACCAATTTCTTTATTTAAATTTCATAAATAAATAAAACATTATTTTATTTATTATAATTTTTATTTTTTAAGAATGTGAAACAGAACTGATCATTCATTAAATGTCACTTAGAAATTTAGCACATGCAACATAGGTGTATTTTTCCCCCTCACCAGTATTTTTCACTAGAGACTAAATATATGGGCTGCCATTTATCTGGACCTGTGTGAAGTCGCAAGAGTGCTAAAGAACACCCTTATCCTCCTGTGACACAGGCAGAAACTCTGGATACTGGTTCGAGTGCAGTGGGATTCAGAGGTTGAGTCATCTGATGCTTCTATAATCTAGGATACCACACACTATGATGAAAAGGATAAACATAATCCAACTGAAGCATTCTCAAAACATCTTTCTCCTGGTTCTCTTATATAAAAGCAATGATCTACGAAATGACAGCATGAAAGGACACAGTTTGGCAAAAATGGATTTTTAAAGAGGGGCCAACTCAATTGTTTCCACAGCAACAGGAGACTGCACAAACAAATCCGTGGTCATTGGTCCATCACCACTCAACAGCATATGGCAGGAAAGAACTACAGAATATTGGAGAGAAAGCAGAACTTAAATTGTTTTATATTAGTGATAGCAGCAGATGTGTTTTAATGAATGACTTACCCTTGGTCTGGGATTTTCAAAATAATCAGCTTTGGCTCACATAGCTGCGAAAGAACAAGAAAAATCACAAAGCAAATTGTTATAAGCATGGACATGCGAGTGGAGGGTTGCTATTTTCCTTTTTAGAGAATTTTGTACACTAGCAATTATAATAATTAAAATGAACAAATGAATCAAAGAAAAACGAAGCCCGAGACAAAGACAGCAATTTCCAAACATCTTTTATTAAAGAACAGGAAATCCAACTATCACCACAGGGTGAAGGTTTAAACAGTTCCACGTTAACTTTTCTCTTTTTAATCACCACCTGCAACAAACATTATCCAATATTACATATCTATACGTGTACAATTTTGCATATGGTGATCAAATTGTAATGATACAAAACCTTGTGAAAAACAAAAGATGGCTGACATGCATCTCCTTCAGACCAGTTATAACTCAAATAAGTCTATCATAGTAATTGTCTCATATGAATCTTGATACAGTTTACAACCAAAATGGAAAAATGGATGTCGGCTATTAAACAAATTTGTTTCTCTCATTACAAACCGCGTATAAAATATTAACTAGCAAAGTTTTAACTGAGGTGAATCATGTCCATTCAATGCAAGTATTCAATGGAACTGGTTACCAAATCAAATGTTATTGAAACGATTTTCTCGGAAACAAGATTTTCTAGAAAGCAGCACAAGCCCTTGGAAAGCTTTCAATTCTTTCTTGCTCAGTAGGACTACAGGAAATATAATGATTGTTGAATTAGAGTAACAAACTTGAAGTCAGGGGTTTCTAAGCAGAGCTCAGAGGGACGCAGCAACTAAGTACAAGTTCAGGTCTACTGGAGTCAATCAACTTAACCTTGGTCTCAGGTCATCAAGCCATGTCCTCCAAATCAACCTGAGCCATATATGCATCCAGCTCTGCGTCCAGACGGCTCTTGGACATGGACATGTACTCATCCAGTTGTTCATCCAACAGTTCCCGAGAAGGAACCTGATGGATGTTGAATCTGGTCCGGCTGCACCCTGAATGCCCTCTGATAGATGTCAAACTGACAACACCTGTGCACACAGGATGAGATTTTATAGCCGAGGGAAGGTTATGAAATGAAAACATTTGCATGTACTGAATCTACCAGCACCACTTCTTAAGTGAGGTGAAGAAGAATGACTTTTTGAGAGTAACATCAGCCATCTGGCAGCTTTTTAGTACTTTGAGCTATTGAGAATGGCAAAAATGATTAATCAAGAAATGAATTTATCTGCAACAGTTGAAAAGAAATGGAACAGAGCCCATCCTAAGTGTTTCCATAACCAGGTAAATTGCTGCAATATTTTCTGTTTATCTGATGTTCGTTGCTAACTGAATGCACTGAACATGTAAACAGCAAAAAGCAGATGGAATTACAGGCATATATTCAATCAAATATGCAGGCAATATTAATGAACAGTGAATGTTGTCGGCTTTCAACTGCAGGAAATTGCTTCTGGCATCTTTATGGAAATCAGAGGAATTTGCTTAAGATTTGCAGTACACATCAACAACGCTTGATTAGCTGATCAGAAACTTGGCCTAACCAGTTACAGAGAGGTTATGCTGGATAGATATTATCTAAACAACCGAAGAACTAGTAAATTTGCCAAACCTTGTGGTGTTCCTGGATGTGGCACCTGCTGCTCTGCATTTCCTTCTGAAGAATCCAAACATTAGGAAAGAGTTGCTGAAGTTCATTCTTTAAGAAATGCCCTAATAATAATTTCAGTCTGATATGAACAATTCCAGTGCAAAATGGAGTCATTTTCAGGATGTTATTTTCCTGCGGCATGAAAGTAATTAATCCCATAACAGACACAAAAAAGACAAAAAGATGATAGCATGCAGGTTGCAATTCAGTACTTTTAGAGGCAAACAGTGAGATGAATAGGAATGCTAATATATACAGGCATTATTATCCACCTTATTTTCAATGTAAAAGCAGGCATGGCCATTTGTAACTTGAATTTGAAACTTGTATTTGTTATATTATTTGATTGTATTTTCGTCATTATAATCACACTAGTTTGTAGCGCAAACAGTTTTACAATTTATTGCACTTTGTTATTCTTTTAGTTATTTACCTATAGCAGCTAATGAATTAGAAGTCTCACACGTCCACGGAAAATAGCTTACTTTTGTGTAGCAAAATAAGGTGGATAGACATCACTGGCTGCATCCGAAAACTGAAAATACAGCATACAGCAGGTAATAAGACAACAAAGTAAGTCCAATTTCAATGCTCATGTTACATCCTGTCTATTGAGATACGTTGATTATTGAAGTCAGAATAGGTGTATCTTTCGCTGCCTATGATATCCCACCATCCTGTGCGTTTGATTCCGTAACACTTGAGCAAAAAATAAATATGGCATCTGGCAAGTTGCGGTTGGGGGTCAGTTTATGTGTAAATGTATATTTTACACAAACTTTTTCCACTTTTGATGTCATATCTAGCTAGAAATTACTATTGTAGTACTTAAATATTTGCTTCATTATCATCTCTCTCTATTTTGTTGTACATAATTAAACCTTTACAATGCCTCAGAAGCATTTTTCTTGAGGTACCTTCGTGTGCAAATACTGCCTGCAAAGTCACTGCCTGAGAGGGAAGCGAGGAACCTTTGTTCTCACCTGTCCTTCTAATGGCTCCTCCTCCTCTGGTTCTCATTACTCCAGTCAAATTAATTATGGCTCCACGCTGCTGCTGCTGCTGGCCACAACCCCTCTGAACACCTAGAGTGTTGACTACACCTTGCTGTCTACTCATGCCTGCACACACACATGCATGTACATGAGAATGAGATATAATGTCTTGCTGGTGTCTCTCTCACTTACACTGTCATGTCACTCACTTCTCCTTGTGTAAAATCCTTTGACCAGTCCTCTTCTGCCGCCGCCTCCTCCTCCTCCTCCTCTCATTTGCCCCCGCAATCCCACCATGCACCCTCTCCCCAAGGGATGGCCGAGCCTTGCCTTCGCACTCACTTTGCAGAGTTGATTATTTATATTCTGCAGAGAGGAAGAGTAACACAAACTATTTAGTCTACCATCAGAGATCATCAGCTCCGATATTTTTGTATTTTATCAAACAGAAAGTGTCTGACAGATACATTATGCAGGGCGGCCAGCACAGAAGGTCTGTTGGCCATCTCCAGAGCCAGCTGCTGGTTCTTCAGCGAGGCTGCAGTCTGCAGTTTCACTGCGGAGGTGGTGTCCATCACATCTGCTGGCTGAAGCTTCAGCAAACTAGTGAAACTACAGGGAGGAGCAAAACAAGACCGAGAATTAAAGCACACCATAATATTATAGTGACACTCAAGCTGCACTGTAAACAAATGTATTTCTTGACAGCATTTCGGGACAACAATAGGATTTTTGCTAAACTAAATCTCACCGGTCATGCAGAGAGACGGTGCATGTGCTGTCCAGAATGATCTTTTGGGGATCCCTAGGATTCATTTTCACATCCAGCTTGCAGTGTAAACGTCAGACTTTCAGTCAAAACTTACGCTAAAACAGTAGAATGAGAAGTCAAAATAGTGTTGACATCTAACTTTAACCCACATAGGCCTAATTCTAAATGTACTTCCCCAAATTGTCTGTGCTTGTTTTGCACAACTGATTTGCATGAAACTAAACTTAGCAAACATTGTGCTAAACAGAAATGTCGCGTTTTAATATTTAAGTTATATATAAATATTAATCATAAAAAAATCGAGGTTTATTGATTTCCCACCATTGAAGTTAGCATCGAAACACGCGCTGTTATGTTAGAATAGCTTTAGTCGGATGTTTTCTGCCAGGTGTGCGGAGTTTGGTACAGTGATTCACACGCTGTGACGGTCCGGCTGATTCTGAATATTCTACCGCCCTCTACCGCACATATCAGCACATGGACACCACAATCTCTGTGCCAGAGAATATACATTAAAATGAAAATTTTCTCACCCTCATGCTGTTTTAAAACTGTATGAGTTTCTTTGTTCTGTTGAAAAAAAAAAATTGGTTTCTGGTCCCCATATTATTTTGTTTTACAATTATGGGAGTCAATGGGGATCATCAAATGTACCGACATATTATATGTATGTAATATTATATATATAAACATTTATTTATTTATCATATTTAATTCACATCTATTACAATAAATGATTAATTTTGATATTCCAAAACGATATTGTAGAAAAAAAAGAAAAAAATCTTTGGTTTTGTTACTTAGTTAAAAAAAAAAACAAAAAAAAACACTGGCTTTCGATTTAATAAAATAAACCAAATCCATCTCGTGGTTTCCAAGCATAAAGCAGAATGAAAAACGAAACATGGCCTATATCAATATTTAACATTAATAATTTAACACTCTTTTTTTTTAATTAATGTTAATAAATTAATAGCTTAGGTCAACAGTCCAATAGAACTTGACTACATTTTATAAAATGTAGGAGTCCTTTTTTGAAAATATGTAGTAGTATTCCATGCTTTCTTCAAACTAATGGCCTGCTAGTCAGCTGACCGACCAGGAGTCTCGACCATAGACTGTGGTCTCTACGATCAACTTAGCTCACGATGCTTTTGAGTAACGTAGCCCAGGTAAACCAGCTGAGCTCCAGCCTGACCAGTCTAGTGGGATCATCAAGACCAGCAAACCATCTTAAGCAGATTTTTTTTTTTTTTTTTTAACATGATTAATCTTTTTATGTTACTTATTGCATCTACACTTGCCGTTCTATAGGAACTTTAGAATTAATTCGATCCGCGAAAAAAAAAATCCCCCCCCACTCACACACACACACACACACACCACACACACACACATTTTGTTTTGTGGCCTTGGTGTCTGTTTCATATTCAGATTTTAGTTTTATTGTGCTTTATTTGTTTGACAAATAACTCTACGTTTGTGTCGCCAGGGGAGTTAATACTCTCTCTCTCTCTCTCTCTCTCTCTCTCTCTCTCTCTCTCTCTCTCTCTCTCTCTCTCTCTCTCTCTCTCTCTCTCTCTCTCTCTCTCTCTCTCTCTCTCTCTCTCTCTCTCTCTCTCACTCACTGGATATGCCCGCGAGCGAGTCAGATTCAGACGGGCGCAGACATACACAGAAGAATAAGCACATGTGACACATAACATGTAAGTAGTCTTTATATAAACTTGCCGTTTATGTTTTATGTATTTAGTAATTCATAGTTGTGGTGGGAGTAACTATACTGTCTCAGAAAGAGTGAAACCGAACAAACTAGTGTCTGAGTCAGGAAGTAACTCTTCGGCGTTTCCCTTAACGTTACTGAAGTTCAGAATGATAGACACATATATCATGGAATGTGATATACATTTATTTGTTTAGTAAATAAATATAGTTATTTTGAACTGGAATTTTCTATATATCTTCATACTAAAACGTTAGTGTTTTTTTTTTGTGCTTCTACCTATTAGGCTACTTGAAATTAAATCCCAGAGTCTCCACATCACCTGTGTGTAGCACTGTCAGTCTAAATGCCCAGTTCTGAGACCTGTGGTTACATTCTTGTATTTGTATGATTTTCCATTATTGCTGTGAAAACTATACAGTGGCCCCAAAAGTATTTAGACATTTTAACCACACTTGAAATGTTTGAATTGTATTGCCTTAGATCAGTTGTTCTACACTCACTGGCTTTGCTTCAGAATCGTATTGGACATCAAGTGGGCAGGTGACCCAACATAGTTTGAAAATAGTTACAAAAGTAACAAAAATGTCTTTAATACCAAATATTAATATAACAGTGAACTGCATAAGCCCAACAATATTTAGCATTTTATACACATATATAGTACAATATGACAAAATACCGTATAGGTTGACTGGACACATAGCCATAGAAGTCAAAAATAAAAGGTTTCATTTTGAAAGTTCATAAACCTATATGTATTTTGACTATCAACCTATGTAAAATTATACTAAATAGATACAATGAGCATAACATTTAAATAATTGTATTATTTGTATTTGCATTGTTTTTTCCCTGCTGTCCACAGACCAGGGTTGCAACTCACCAGAGGGGAACCATTGCATTAGATAACAAACCTGTCTCAGAACTAAGTTCAAGTCAAGATTGACAAACCTCTTTTTGTGAAATGTTTTGAGTGAAAAGTGTCCGTGTGCTGTATTTCTTTCTTTCTTTAAAATAGGTACTATGTGATTTTATGTTTTAATATCCAATGCAATGACATTCATACATTTTTTCAGTGTCCAGGCCACATGCATATACCATTTCTTTTTCTCTTCTAAAATAGTGGGAGCAGAATGTCTGTGAATGCCCCGAGCAGCAGTGATGCGTGTTTAAGCATTGTTCACAGCCTGATGTGCCACCGCCAGGGAGGAGAGAATGAGAGCTTCGCCAAACGTGCCATTGAAAGCCTGGTAAAGAAACTCAAAGAGAAAAGAGATGAGCTTGACTCCCTCATCACTGCTATCACCACAAATGGAGTCCATCCAAGCAAGTGTGTCACCATACAAAGAACGCTGGACGGACGTTTGCAGGTCAGAGCATTAACATCCAACATCATTGGTTTTTAACACAAATTAATCACACGTGTGAAAATCAGACAAATGCATGATCTGGTGAAACTACAACTGGTCAGTGACTTCTGATGAAGCTGGTTGACCAAAGAAGCAAGTTCTATTTAAGAATTCTGGTGGGGAAACAAGCATTCCAAAATAGGCACCAGCATCCAAAACACAACATATACTAGCCAGTTTTTGGTAATTGAAATAAAAATAAAATAAAATGTAAATATTAAATGAACAACTTAAACTTAAAAAAAAAAAAATGTATACGTAACTTGTAAATGTTGCATTAACAACTAACTGAAATTGAACTGAAGTTAAAGTGCTAAAATGACTAAAACTGAAAAAAAATTATTGAATCTATATAGATATATAAAAAAACTAATAAAAATGACAAAAGTGTATAACAGAATTACTTAAACTAAAATTAAAATGAAACCTTAAAATCTAACAATAAAAGTCAATGCAAAGTATTAATTATTAACAAAGACCCCCTCTCCCTCTCTCTCTCTCTCTCTCTCTCTATATATATATATATATATTGTTAGATTTTGCTGTATTTGGCCGAGCAGTCGATTTCTCTAATACATAAAATAAGTACATTTGACCAGAGTTTGTGTGGGAAGAATTTATTGAAGGTTTATAGTGTAGCAGTTCTTCAGCAGCGATGTTAGCGTGTTGTCCTTTAATAATCTTAACCCAAAGTTTGTGTATGAAGACAAAAGGGCTACATACAATAGAAAACTGTTAGGACCTCCCACAGGAGATTGATCTACACTGAAATCTACTCTGAGCAATGTTGTTTCTTTGTCATTCACACCCATCAGTTTCTACGGGCCATAGGTCTGTATGGGCCATTTGGTTCACACCTTTACAGACACAGTTGATTGCATCTGAGGCACAGTCACAATGTAAATGCATCTGACTAAATTTAACTGAAATACACATAATCTTTCAATATATATATGTGTATTTATACTAAAATAACACAAATACTAGCATGCTAAGCAATGTTGGTCTTTTCAACAGGGTAATATATTGTATACCAGGCTGTTGGTATCATCTTACACATAAATAGGCTGTTATTATGGAAAAGTCCAATTATTTTTCAGTGTTAATTATTTTTGCTCATGCGACTGACACAGTGTAAACAGGGTATGTTGCCAGTTCTCCACTTCAAATGAAATCTGAACATAAACAATATTTAAAAAAAAGCTCCCGCATGTCAGCGTTAATTACATGTCAAAATACAGGAAAAGACACACACCACATTTTTCCTAGAGGTTCCATGAAACTTTCACAACAGAAGTGACTGCACTTGTGTCATCTACGTTATAGTGAAATAAAAAAGATTCACTTAAAGAGCCAGCTAATCCAAAAAGCATGCATAAACACTTTAACTGACAAACAAACTGTCACATCATATCATGATGGCTGTTAATACAGTATGACATTTTGTAACATGATCACTTTTCATGTTTAAGACCAAAAGTCTGGCAGACTTTCACCTCTGCGGCATTTATAACCATCAGAGGAGGAGAATCGAGGTATGAGTGATGTCAACATGGAAGAAATCTTTTCTCCCAAAATAGTCAGCTCATGATTTTAGAGAGAGAGGAGAGGCCCATGGAGAATGAGACAGAAAGTTTTCCCTTCCCCCAGCTGTAGACGGGGAGAGAGGCGGGTGGAGGGCGAGGAAGGGTTGTTTTGTCTGAAACACAGGAAAGGGGCATGGCCAAGCTTAAGCCTGTCTGTCTCGTAGTCTGTGTATGTGGAAGAGAGACGACTGTGTCAGTATTTGAACCATGAGTGCAATGCATTCAAGTAGGACAACAAGTTCTGAATGTATGCGTGCATCCGTAATATCCGTATGCATGTGTGTTGAACTCTGTTTCATGTCACGCACAGCTATTAGGGTTTGTTAGTGGAGAAATGTTATGTTTATGAAAATGAGAGGGTTCTGAGAGTTTAATATGGTGCTCTGTCTGTGTGTGAGTTTGTAAAACGTAATGGGTTTGGCAGTGAACCAGCTCTCTCTGTCTGTGCGCCGACTGTCTCTGCTTTGACTCGCTCAGGAAGGTCAGTCTCCTGGGTGGAGAATGGTAAGTCATTCCAATAGCAAATGAGGTCACAGTGTGTTGCCTTGCCACTCACACATGATTTAGAGAAGATGGTCTGACAGCAGAGTCAAATATTTCTCTGTACTTTTTATCTTCTGTTCCTTCTCTTTCTCTGACTTCTGTCCATTTGTAACATCTTTCTGTGTGATGTCATGCTCCTGAAACTTTTGAATGACCTTGATTGAACCATGAGCTGTCAGTGACTACATTATATTCTGATTGTAGGTCAGTTCTGCATTGTAGAGCATCCCTGACTTCAGACCTGTCTATCTGTGACGAAGAATGACTTCTTCAGGTAGATAAAACTGGCTGCTTGGGAATCAGCCAATCAGGAGCGGCACTGCGCTCTGCGGTCCGCGGAAGAAGACAGCTTTCAGTTTCATTCAGTTTCGGGAAAGTTTGAAAGAGCGCTGATGTTGAAAGACTGTGTAGTCTATATTGATTGATATAGAAAATATAATAGTGTTGCTGTACTTATTATAAGTTCCTAGAATTGTGTGCGTGCAACTACCAGTAAGTATACTGATGTTTGTTGTTAGTTTTACCTCATAATAATGTCGTGGTACGTTAGTGCTTGTTTTTGTATAATGGCGGGGCTTCTCCGTCTGTGTGTTTAATTGTTGAGAACGCTGTTGCTCTACAAGCCTTACGTGTCTCTATTGAAAATAACGTCTGTTGTTCTTGCTCAATGTGTAACATTGTTTATTTGAAGGAATAACTCTGCAGTTCATAATTATTATATTCAGCTGAATTTAGCCTGTTGTATATTGTTGCAGTTAATGTGCAGCAAATTAATCTTTGACCAGGGATATAGTGTATTATGGCATTTCTAAGTTTGTATTTGCTTAGTGATAAGCATTTATTATAACACTGCATTTAAGTCTTACATAACAAAACTATAATTTAATATCTTGATCGTTTTTTGTTTATTATATACCTGCTATGCATGTAATAACTTTTTGACATTTATATAGAGAGTCTACATTTACTGATTTATGCCTGTATCTCTGTTTTTCAGAACCACACACATTAAACTTTTATTTTAATAAAACACCTAAACGGAACATCTTGTCTGCATTCTAATCGATGCCCCCTGGTGGCCACAACCCTTTAAATACCAGTCAAATTATACAGTCCTTTCCAATCATCAAAACATTTGGTCCTTCGAGCCGGATTCGCGTGGTCACCGTGGGATTGTTTAGAGATGTTCTCGGATCAGTATACACGCCCAGTAGATGCCCGACCCCGCCGAGAGAGCCGGCGGCCGGCATGGATGGAAGATTATGACATCCCCCTTCAAGCATTGCAGCCGTCCTCTCGTTCGCTTCATCAAGCGGCTAACGTTTCAGAGCCACAGCGGCCCTACGACAGCATGGTGAGATTTCCAGAGAGACACGCCAGGATGACGCCTCTCACACCACCATTGCTGCATGAGGACGGAAGTGTCATGCGGGGAGCGGAAGCTGCCTATCCACGCCAGTTTGAGTATACAGAACCCCTCTTTCAGAGTACACCTGCCTTTGATCGATCGAGGCCTGCCCCAGAAACAGCACCTGAGGTCCTTGAAGCTCTTTATAAGCTGAGGGAAGATAATCAAAGGCTGCAGCAACAGGTAACGGACATGCACAGGCGACTTGACGCCCGCACTTCCCTTCCAGACCTACCAGCACTGCGACAGACAGCCTTTTCTCCCTTCCCTACACCAGCCCCCCCCCAACAGCAGCATAACATAGAGCAGGATGGCGGTGCGTACCAAACCACGCCAATTCCACCACCTGTTCAAGCTGGTGGTCACACTCTGCCTCCGGATGATGACGACTGGCCACCGCCACCACCCCCAGCAGTAGACAACGTTTATCAGCCACCATCACAGGATCTTATGGCAGAGCTCATAACAGCACTGAGAGACATTAAGATGACACGTCAGCAGGAGTATCCCAGTCACCCTGAGCCCACTCCTCCAGTGCCCGGGGTACAGACACCAGAGTACTGTGTACCCTTCCACCACCATGAGACAGTGTACCGCGGGCCTAAACCTACAATCCCTGCATTCACTAAAGGAGATCCGAGAGAGTTCGCCAGGCTTAAGGTCGCTCTGGAAAACCTACTGCCTGTGGACGCTACGGAGCGCTTTAAATACCAGATCCTGGTGGACCACTTAAAGTATGAGGAGGCACTTCTAATAGCGGACTCATACACTAACTCACTGCAGCCCTACACTGACACTATGACAAGCCTAATTGATCATTATGGACAGCCTCACCAGCTAGCTCTCAGAAAAATAGCTGATCTAATGGAGGCGCCTAATATTGCACGTGATGACTTCAGTGGGTTTAAGCGATTCGCCCTGAAAGTGAGAGCACTCGTCGCAATGTTAGACCAGCTTGGGGACAATGGAAAGACTGAGCTTCACTGTGGTTCACATGTGACACGGCTGCTGTCCAAACTGCCTCATGATATACGGGCTGAATTTAAGAGGTTTCTGTACCCAATGCGTGTTACAATCCCAAGCCTATTGCACTTTTCTGACTGGCTTGACTACGAGCTGAAGATGCAAGAGACGGTGTATGAGCCTCTAATCGGTGAAAACAAGAACAGAACAGGACCCAGGACAGAGCGCCGCCGCGATGCAAAGAGTGGTAAGAGCACCAACATCATGCACACCACAGACCGACATGAGAGCACACCGACAGTAGAGAAGGCCTTATCTAGCACCAAGCAGCCAGAGAGGACAGCATACTGCCCTTACTGCTCTAACACGCAACACTTCCTAGATAAGTGTGCAAACTTTGCACAGCTTACAGTGGAACAGATAACAGCGTGGATCAAGACCAACAAAAGATGCTGGCGATG